GGCCCACTAGATAGAGCTAATCCCTATCTCCGGACCTTTCTTGGATATTATCCATCGTGTAGTAAATATAAAACGTAAAAACGACGTTTCGGAGATGGGACTCTCTCTCCGTCTTCAGGTTCCTACTCAGTTTGGCCCACTAGATAGAGCTAATCCCTATCTCCGGACCTTCCTTGGATATTATCCATTGTATAGTAAATATAAAACATAAAACGACGTTTCGGAGATGGGACTCTATCTCCGTCTTCAGGTTCCTACACAGTTGGGCCCACTAGATAGAGCTAATCCCTATCATACACTATAGGCCTTTGGATTATCCTTTCAGGATCTTAAAGTGCAAAACGGAAGTATTCTGAACACATTTTCGTATAGATTTGTCGCCAGCCTATGCCTTCGCGTGATTCTATGACAGACATAAGGACGAATAGAGATCACTTGTCTGTAACACATTTGTTCTATCCACTGAGTGCAAAGAACGATTACAATCTGTGAAAACCTCAGTCACTTGCCTACGCTGGTAATCAATTGAGCGCCGGTTTTAAATCAGAGCTGTCTTTTATTGAAAGCTTTCGCACAACATTGCGGCCTGATGCCCTTTGTAACTCGCGGTTCGTTTCGTATTTGTCACCACTTTTAATCATGGCTACAGCGCGGGCAGACCCACTAAATTATCCTCTGTGGTTACAGCAAGTGAATTATGGGCGGTGTCTGAAATAAATGTAACACGCTGTTTAATCTGCTTTTAACAAATAATACCTCTCATTTATTCACGCACAGACTATATACAGAAACCGTTCATTCTTACTTAACTTAAAACACTTTAAAGGGTTTCACAATGAAAATTATGAACATGATCAAAATTTTGCAATTTTTTTAGATTCTCACGGCGATAAGTATTCTGGGTTGTAGGCCCTCGCATGTACGTATTTTAATAACTTTAATCAAGATGGTAAAGTTGCGTCATATTGTGATATAATAAGTATATATTAAATTTTGTCCGTCTAATCACAATAATTCTTATTAAATATTAAAATATTACAGTGATTAAATCGAATATTTCGATAAAGAACATCATTTAATATCAAATCTAAAACTTCTTGACGATGGTGAAGAGTCAATTGAATAAAATTTTTCCCATCTCCGAAACGTCGTTTTACGTTTTATATTTACTAGACGATGGATAATATCCAAGAAAATTTTTATTCAATTAACATCATTTAATATTTTAAATATTTTAAATGTTAATTATTGTAATATTTTAATATTTAATAAGAATTATTGTGATTAGACGGACAAAATTTAATATAAACTTTCATCAAGTAAAATAAGAATCGAGCTATATGGAACTTGTTCTTTGCTGCTGTCAACAAATTTAGCAAGAGAATCTGAACTTAACTGACTGCACTCAAACTAAATTTCATAGTGGCATTTCTTTTGCGCAAGATGTACGTAATTGTTCGTGATTAAAACATTTGGTGGTGTGCACATAAATTTATATTTTTTCATAACTTATAATGTATTTTTTTTCATTTCTCGTTATTCATTCGCATACTAAGATTAGATGATCAGTTATGAATTCATCCAGCAGTTGCACTGGGCACCTGTTGTATGACTGCGACACTGAAAGCGTCTTCTTGGCGTGTCGGATTGTTTAAATGAAATTCACTAAACGTGATTAAATATTGAGGTTAAGGCTCTGAAACTAGAAACCAGCACCATCGTTTCAGATGTTATATGCTGAAATTTGTGTGTAATAGCCATCATATCATCCATCATTAATTTATTCATAAGCTACCCTTCCAATATTTAAGCATGAAGAAGTAAGATAATAATCAGACGTTTAAGTTTTAACGCCCGATGAAGGGGAGGTATTTCGGGCCGTGAAGGGAGAACAATTCGCATTCTATGCCTTGATTTTCGATGGCGGTGTACAACTTAACATTCCAGCCGCCTTACCAAAAGACTTAATAGATGGAGTGTTGTATGGACTATAAGTTGTACCAAAGACAAAAATATCTGCCTCTGATGGGTATAGAACCCCGGACGTCTAGCCCTGAGTCAATTTATTTATTTATCAACTCACATTATAGCGTCCAGTGACGTAATTATCTATGAATAATAGTTTTGTAAAGGTATGAACGGGACCTACCTTGGACTAAGTTAGGATATTGTACCGGAATTATTCCAGGTTCTGAGGAAAGCTTTGAAATATCTGCCAGTGTAGCCGATATCTGGGTCGCTTTTTGGGAAAGGAACGTCCCGAATACGGCACAGGAGTGCTAACCATTCGAACTTAACTGTTATTAATCACTTCATTTACTGAGTTATCCACCAATTAAGTGATGTGTAATCACTGACATTATTTTAATAACACTGGCGTCATGATTTACATTTGTTACTTTGTTTGGAGTTTGTGGAATTATATCTTACATTCTTGGAGGCAAGCCCATTGCTTGTCTGTCAGAGTAATGCTAGAATAATTCCAGAAGATGAAGACGGACGCTCACATTCCAGACTAATTAATCTGTATAGGAAGAATAGTTTATTTAAGCGTTCATTGGTCGTAATTTTTTCATTCATAAACAGTTAGTAGTGATGTGTATGGCGATTATGATAAGGGCCAGAGTAATAATGATAGTAAATTTAAGTTGTCGACGGTAGTGGCAACAGTCACACCGGCTTTGTTGTTGTTATTATTGCTAGTATCGTTTTTCCCGCAGATTCGTTCTCACTGCTCCTACCCCTGTGAGTGCCCATCGCGACAACCCGCGTGTCCTGAGGGAGTCTCGGTTGTGCGGGATGGCTGCGGCTGCTGCGCCATCTGTGCGCGTCAGCAAGGAGAGCCGTGTGACGGCACAACGCTGTGCGACGAGAAGCGTGGCCTCGTCTGTCAGTACCCACACCACGCTGCCGTGAAGGGCGTCTGCCAAGGTAGGCTTCTCTGTCTTCTGGGTATATTGCTGGAAATGAGCCGAGTGATGGTCGATGTATTTTTTGATTTCTTTCGTGAGTGCGCGGTGCTGGTAGGTGGTGTTGGACAACAGCGAAACGTAGATCCTATAGGTAGAGAGGTAAATACGGATGGAATAAATGCAAGGTGATAAATAGTGTGAAAATAGTATTAAAATATATTAAAATTGTCCGTCAATCACAATAAAGTAATATAAGATAATTAAATGGTTAAAATATTATCCTTTGTTCCGTATCGAGTACTCGATTTACATATGGAACATTCTCGACATGTTTCGGCTTTCATAGAGCCGTCATCATTTGTATGTTATAAACTCTTAATTCAATTACTAATTTTTAATTTTCTTATCATTTCTTCGTTTTTCACATTGTGATTGACGGACAATTTTAATATATTTTAATACTATTTTTAAATAAAATCACAATATGACGCACCTACAATATCTTATAAATAGTGTGATAGAAATCGTAGGAATTTAAGAAATATGCTCAACCCGTATCATCTTTGTTGCTTTTCGAATTTCGACAGTGATGTCATGGTTGTCTGGGATAAATGGCGTTTATGTGAGGCGCCTGGCACACGTATGGCTGGGGATGACATCATAAAAGATTCTCCACGGCATCTGACTGGGGAATCCCCACCCATGAGGGTTTTCTTATTTTTGTCTGAATTTATCCAACATTGGAGTGTGTCGACAAATTTTAGTAAAAACTTTCTGGTGTCAAATTTAACGAAAATCCGTTCAGATGTTTTCGTCACACACAAACAGGACAAACTTAATAGATGTTTTTTTTTACATTTTTTATTACGAAAGCGACTGAAACGGTTCATGTACTTTTTTTTCAGTTGTTAATCAACTGTTGATTACACAGAAACCCTTAAATTTCGTGTTCCTGCCGACAAGTGATTGGCAACACCCTGTTGTATGTCAAAAGAATATTGATGGTGTGAAGCTAAGGCATTCACTTGGGGAATCTTTTAAGAAAGGGCCAAAGAAACCGTTGTTGCAGGTGTGGGCTCTCCTATAATGCTCTGCTCGAAGGATTAACATATAAACGCCACGCACGAGATATCTCGCTTACAAACACTTGAGTTTCAATCCGGATTTATTTGGTGTTTGAATACTTCGCTGAATAAGTATACGTGTCCCTGAATCTAAGTATAAGTGCAATTTTAGGAATGAAAACATTTTACATTTTTTTTCTAAAACTAGCTGTAACGTATTTGAACAGTGGTGGTTTCTGTAATACTGATCATTGTGGGAAAAGTTAAAGCCCAACTCCAACAGACCGCACATCCACAAAATGACCAAGATGTCTTAAATGCAAAAATTCTTATATCATTTGCGCCGACATATTTTCAATTTCATCAGTTAATAAACCTCTCGATTTCAAAGTCGTAATGAATATTAGCTATATTTTTCTCAGATTTAAAAAACAAAATGGTGGTTAACTACACGATTTTATGCGTTGCACGTTTTCACAAAAGCGAATAATTGAAAACCAGTGTCGTTTCCATTTCTGTCTGACCGCATCTTTTGTGTAAAAAAAAACACGTAACGAATCTAGATTCAGTTTTATGTTGTGGAGAGGCGGGGTTGTATTCATCGTCGAGCAAATTTAATTTTCATTCCGCCTCTACACTTCAAAATCGAAGTTAGAATAGAACTTTTCGAAATGTGTAAAAACGAATCATGTTTAAAGAAAACGGCAGTTGAAAGCTGATACTTAAGAATTTTAACTTCCACTTGAAATACGTTTCGTTTTCGTGCATTGTAACAGAAAAAAGTGTGCAATGTTCTATCTCTAGAGTTGTTGAGTCTCCTCGAAAGTAATAAGTCGTATCTTTAAATTATATTATCTGTACTGTCGACAAACTTTCACCAATGAAATTGCGTCTGCAGGAAATGATAATCACAACAAATGACGGGTATATTTTCAAGCGCCGAACTTCGAATTTGAGTGGTTAGCATTCCTAATTCATATTTTCAAAATCTCACGTAAAAATCACGGTTCAGAAACCTGCTACCCTGGCTCACGGTAGCGTGTAACGTATCAAGCCCCAGCTCAGGCGGAAGAATATAGTGATTTTTATTTAAAAAAATCTAAGAGTGCGGTCGAAAACTCGCAGATGCCGGAATACGAACTGTTGAAAACATGTCTAACGGAGAAAATAATTGTCAGTGCTCGCAATTGAAAGATAAAACCAAAACCTCGCCTTGACTATCGCTATTGCCCTTTCGAGACTGTCATAGCTGAGCTCTGATTCAATATATCATTAGATGTCGGTGATGCTGTAGGTTAATTTTTTGGTTTTTTTCAATCACGTCCTCTAGTTAAATGCCGAGATATTATCGTAAATTACGTCACGACCGATTCCTTCCTGTCTTTTCCGATTCATTGTTCATTAACCACTCCACCATTCAACGCTATAATAGCTGAACTGCTGACAGCGTTGTTCATAAATCGCTCTCTGCGGAGCTGTTTTCACGTAGAAATAAAGACAGTTTTGAATCATTCTCTCCAAAGTTTCATAGCCCCTAGAGTTGAGCGGGTTGCTAACACCCGCCAGCCCCGTCGCCTGGGGCAAACAGTAACTGCACCAGACTCTGATAATTGCTCTCCGTTCATGAACACCCTTCCCTTCCCCCTCCCCCGCATGCCGTTACCTCGACAACCACATCCGCTCTATCAATATTCCCCGCGTAACCATTCGTCTTTTGTTCTAACAGTAACTTTTTATTACAATTTCTATATGAGGCTTTATTGTGTGGTAAACAGCAATTTTATCTCTGCTTTGGTTATCATCATTTTCATCTCTAGACCAGTGTTTGGGTGCACATAGAGATAATGACACTGGTGATATTGATGGTGATTGTTATGGACGGGTTTTAATACAGTACTCCAGATAATGTAGTCGATCAGCATTCCTGTTTCGAGTTCAGTTCTCTATATGTAAACGGATTAGACATGTCCTAAAATGGATTTTTGTGGATTTACTCAGTCTCTCCGGGAAAATACCGTGATAGTGTCTTATATTAGGCTACTATCACTTCCTTCCATATGCTTTAAAATTCTTCAGTCATTTAATCATTCTGTCATTCGATACTGTGTAATCTGAGAAGTTACTGACCCAGCCGTTAAATAAATCATTTAAATGTTAATTGTAATAATATTTTAATTATTATTATTATTAAGTGTTCTGTCTTACGACAGGTCCATTGCTCTGCCCATATTTTAATATTTAATAATAATATTTTATTGTGATTAGACTGATAAAATTGAGCAAGTATAAATCATAAACACTGAAAACATTTGCCTTTCCACAAAAGAGGGCTTAGGATGATTATCGAAAGCCATTTATACAGATCACAGTGACATAAATAATCTGAAGACGTTTTTACCACTAAGATATATGACACGATACTCTGTGTGGTTTACTAACCTGTGTTCAGTAACTCCATAATTTATGTTCTTTAGTAAATATTATTAGGATGACAGTCAGTGAGGGTAAGTACCACGTTGCATGGGAGAAATGAGAATTGAATAAAACATTTTGACAGGAAAGACTTAAGTTAAGAGATTGGAAGACCTAAGCGTAAATTAAAGGATAATATTAAAATGAAAGTAGTGTAGGAATGTGTGGACTGGATTCGTCTGGTCACAGGATAAGGACCGGTGGCGACTTCTTGTGATAAAATACTGAACCTTCGGGTTCCGTAAGTCGTGGAAATGTTCTTGACTTGATGAGAGACGGTCAGATTCCAATAATAACTCTGCTCAATGGAGTTAGTTAGCATTAATTAGACTCTGATTAGTACTTTTGGACATCACGTGAGTGTTGTAGAATAAATTTTGATTTTTATACTTAAGTTTCATTTGCTTTTATCCGTTACAGTGTCGTATAAAGTGAAAATGTCCACAATAATTTATTTGCTTTTATCCGTTACAGTGTCGGATAAAGTGAAAATGTCGACAATAACTTCCTCGAAATATAATTGCATCATTACGTTTTATCTCTTACACGGCCTAGAATACAAGTTATATGTCAGAATGTTTGGAGTACAAGAGTAATTAAATTAACGTCAAAACGTCTCCTGAGATGTTGCTCCGTGTGAACCCTGAAAATCTCATGAAAATTAACATCCCTAGTATTGTCTGTTTTCATACCTTATTTGGGGTACTCAACGCGATAGTCACAGAACGTCGGGAGCGAATGGGGGATGTCCCTTTCATCACTAAAGCTCACATGCTGCTTCTTTATAGGTGACGTCATATAGCTGCCAGACAAATGACGCTCACATCACGACCCCAGCCATCATCTACTACTTAACGACCTGGGATGTTCCCACGAACCACAATCAATAATCCTTTTCCAATAAAGACGTTTTACGACAGTGATTAACTTGACTTAAGTACTGAATGCTCGGGAATTTCGGAATACATCATTTAACTTTTATCAGGGCCTGTCACAGGTCAGTAGAAGGAATAGGAATCATCTCTTTTTGTGTTCTGCCTTATTTTTTACAGAAAGAGGTTTAAAATAAGGTTGTCCGTGGTGCATAACTAAGCGTTATGCCATGCAGACATACAGAAATATGATCCATGGATTACTATCCTTGGCATTATGTGGAAGTAAGTGGTTAGATTCAAGCTTCGGCTACTTTATCCCGCAGGAAATGACCCCGATACGTAGGTTGGGCTGACCCTAGAGAAAGTGTGGATGTTGTGACGAAAAGGAAATTCGTGCCATGCCAGAAATCGTAAGCGAATATCAAACCCATAGTCCATTCATTGCACTGAGCTATGTCGACTTTTTCTTTTACACCAAATCTCATATTTATTCCACGGAATTTCTTAATAAAACTAAAATACCTCTCTACTCTTCTAGTTGAGTACTTTTCTGATGTCCTTTCTTAGAAAGTTATCCTGACGTAAAATTTACAAAGCGGAAACGTAAT